ACCTAACACTTGCTATTGTTTACCAAACGAAAAGGAAAAAAAAGAAATACGTAAAAGGCAAGCTTGTAGATCATAAGATGAAAATAAAGAGTCAACCAATATGTATTTCGTACTACACACCTAGACTAACGACCTCTCAATAATTTTTTACGACCCTTCATCGTGTCCCGTGAAAAATCTTGACCCGCCTGAACCGGTGTAAACCTATACTCGCCCCGCCCCGCTCGCCCGTTAGTGAATCGCTACCCGTAACGCGTCAACCCCGCAGCTTTGTAAAAATTCGCGGTCGACCCCGCGGGGTCCAACCCGTGGATCGCACACCTCTGGTTACATCTATTTATTCAATATAGACTAGAATCGAATATTTTTCTATATGCATACTCTAATAATCATCACATTACCGTCAATAATTGCCTCAGGCGTAAAAATAACGAACGAGTAAAAAATTACTGAGAGCAGCTTTTTTATGTTAGCGACATGATAAGTTTCAGAATCCTTTAAAACACGTCTTTCTTCCCTTCACACAACATCTTGCAATAGGAATAATCGACAATCTATCAAAACTTTGTAACAATGAGTCATATCATGTTTTCTTTAAATTTCTGTACTCTTTTCGCAGAAAATCAACAAGGCATCTAATCTTGACTCAAGTAGCTCTCAAAGATCGATCATTATGATTGAAAGAACGTGAAAAATATTAAAATCATTTTTTGTTCTAGATTTAACTTTTTAAAATGGCTTATAGCAATTCTAACGAAAAACATTCGGCTACACGATTTGCTGATTTGGGCGCATTACCAAAACGCATGCTAGCACCAATCGAAGGCTATGAAAAAACACCATTAGTAACACTTGAAGAAGCTGTAAAATCTCTCGTCAAGATAGTACCAAAAGTCGAACGAAATGTATTCATAGTTAAACAGAATTGTCAAGAACCAGAAGATGGTTTAACAACTGATGAGTCAGCTGCCATTATGCTCTATACCTATGAATCTATGCCACATGAAGACTCCTTATACGTGAAATTGAATGATAGCTTACGATCTGAACAAAGAAAAAATTTAATTCCATGGTTCCTCTATCTTCGACTCATACTGACGGCACTTGCTCGTCTTCCATCAGAATGTTCTGCTATTTTACGAGGAGTCAAAGAAGACTTGTCGGCTGAATATTCAAAAGGCAAGACTTTTATTTGGTGGGGATTTTCATCTTGTACTTCATCGATCGAAGTGCTTGAAAATGAACAATTTTTTGGAAAAACTGGAAACAGAACCCTATTTCAAATACATAGTACTACAGCAAAAGACATAAAAAAACATTCATTTGTGCCTAGTGAAGACGAAGTACTCTTATTGCCTGCGAGACAATTTCAAGTTACATCTTGTCTTGATTCCGGAAATGGACTTCATATTGTGCAACTCAAAGAAATAAAACCACAATACGATCTTCTTGAACCAGTTCCAGTGCCTAATTCATCAGTGCAACCGCAAACAAAATCAAAATGTAAGTCCTATTTCATGAATCAATTAGATATGTGTTACTTAGACGCGAAATATAGAAATGACTCGCATACTTCATCATAAAAAGTAAAAGAAAAACAAGGTGGGTGTGGGTGAAATTTTTTTCTTGATTAGAGGAATGCTCATTTATCTGATTTTATTCATATTGATGACTGAGAAATCGAGATTTGCTTAAAAGAAATAGGTATTACTGATTCGTGCCATCTTATCATAGTACCAATTTGTCTATGGATAGTTTCAAAGCATGATATGATATGACATGAAGAAATAGACTATACGATGACGTCGATGAAAATTATATGAGATATATTTCTTGTATAGTTAAGGAGCATAATATATTGTTCTTTCGAAAAAAATATACTAAACGACATATAACCAGATTATTTTTTGGTTCAATGTAAATAAATAAATTTGAATCTTAACTCGTCATTTAGTCATATTCCGTTCGTAAAACTCTTTTAGAACATCTTTTAGTGCAAAATTCTTAATCGATTCTTGTCAGTTAATATTATCTTTATTTTGCCAATATGTGCTTTTTCTTTCACAGAAGAAGATATTATATTTATGTAAATTTATTAGATCGGAAACTTTATAATATCTGCACTTATCAAACTTCAAAGAATTGAAAGAGAAGAAAGCCAAATAAATTAAAGTATCGAAAAAAATACTATGTTCATATTTCAATATAAACACAATCAATATTTTGATTCTGAGCTATCTTCAGTGATATTTAAATAATTATTCTTGATTCATTTTGTTTTTTCAAAAAAGAAAACAATTTCTTTGTAAAGATCCTATCATTTTAATAAGAAAATCTCCGGTATAGGATTTACTATTAAACTTTGTATTTAAAAAACAAGTCGTCCGATTGCGTAGTCAGAGTAAACTTTATTCAGCTGTTTGATTGTTTTTAAGTATTTTTGTATTTCTGTAGATGAACATTTCGCAAACATTGAATTTTTAAGAAAAACCCAATGTTTATCAAATTGATTGTTATACTAATTTTTATCATTTCATATGTATAAATCAAGTACTAAACTTGGAAGTTTCATACGATGTTCAAGTTTGACATAAACGTAAATAGAAGATTTAAATAGACCAGCAAATATGCATGAAAAAGTCCGAGAGTTTTTTCATTTTTAGAAGTTAATATTTATATATTTTGAAACGATCTTCTTTTCCATTCTACTTTTTGAAGAGAAATTATGCGTCATTGAGAGCATTTTGAACAGAGTAGAAAGGCGATACATCTTTATAAGCTCTAGTTACCCCGGTCGAAGAAAACGATCAGTAAACAGTCGTATACGATAGTAATACGGCCCGTTTTACGTGCCGTATTTTCCTCGTATAGCAGGGTCAGTAATACGGCTGTATGTTCCATAGAATACGATAATATTACGCCGGCTTTACGAGGTTTTACGGCTGATATACGGTGTCCATGTATGGCCGTAATACTGCCCCTGTTAAAACGCCTTAATTCGTCTTAAAACGGCCGTTTTACGACGGAATACGATGCAAAAACGACTGTTTACGGTAATGTTACGCAGGTTTACGGTGGTCTGTTTTGATCGACCTGGGATAGTCGCGTACTGAACAATACGTAATATTCTCTCTCTCTCGTATATAAGCTCACGGTATATTGGGAGAAATAGGGCAGTATTATAAAATCAGAGAGTAGCTAAAATTTGAGTTGTTCGAAGAAATAGTTTATTAGAATGTGAATAGTGTTAGACTTGACTTGTATTGAGAAACATATGCACCCTATTATTAGCAGCGCAATATTGCTATCTTGTTTTATTGTAAGCACATTATTGAATAAATTATTACAAGTTGGTATTGTCCAAAACATTCTTGCTTGTTACATTTCGATGAGTTCGGCAAATTATTTATGCCAATAAAATGATTAGAAAATCGATTCAATTTTCATTAGTATTCTTGGTTGTGTACTACTTACAAGAGTTTTGATTAATATCTCGCGACACACCCACACCAACACCCTGAATACGATTATATCTGTCCCTATTATTGTTTTCAGTTCTTGTGTATTATTGTTAAAGTGTATTAATCGAACCTGCTAATAAAGAAGTGAAAGTACACCTTAACACCCACACACCCAAATTTCCACAAAAAAAGAATGATCTATTCAAAGAATTACTGGATGACGCAAATGAATTACAAAGTAATTCTGTGTTGAACAATAACCAGTATAGCTCTTATGGGGACTACCACGGAGAATCGGGGTCTACCATGGTGTGGGTGTCACGTAGGGTATACGCAGCAAGAGCACACACACACACATCATACATGATAGTGTGGGTGCGATGAAAGGTGTACACAGCGAGAACACACACATCTCAGCCCATATATTTTTAGGATCATAGTAGACTCTAGTAGACCCTGTTAGACCCTGCTAGGTCCCGATTCCCTATGGCAGACCCTGATTACCAATGGTAGACTCTGACTACGTTACATTTTTTGAATTATTTTGTAATTCATTTGTGTCATGAAGTCGAAGATGCAATAAATGATAAGAACAATGTATCTGATGAACGTTGTATGTCAGACATTTTCAATATCAGCAATGATTATAATAAAATATTTCACTTTTTGATTCAAAACAATCTTTTTTAACGTACGATATTGTTATTTGTTTTGCTCCTAAACCGATTCACATAGCTTTCTTATTTATGTATTGCTAGCCTTACTGATGATCTAATCGATAGTTTACGGTTGCTCTCTTTCTTTTTCTGCTATGACCCTAGACAAGAAAATAGTCACGTCATTGTTTCTGTCTATGTGACGGAGAAAAAAGGAAAAGAATTGATCGTACCGGTCAAACGACTGCAATTATATATATATTTTTTCTTTTTTCTCTCTTCATTTTTATTCCGCTATAAGAATTGACGAGATCAGTGATGATATTCATGCTACTGAACAAAACTGTGAAAAAGTGAACATTGATTTCATCAGTAATTCTGAATATTGATTTTATTCAAAATAGACAAAGAAGGAATCCAACAATTTTTTTTGTCTATAGACTCTACAAAAATTGATTGATCAATGAAGAATGAAATATACAAATATACAGGAGGTACTTTGAGTATGTTCATGACGTTCATAATTCACTGTACTCTGAAAGACACAAGAGCAAGTGGCTCGTTTTTTCAGAACATGGTTGTAGATCCAATGTGTTATTATACACTGACTGTACGCTGTTGGTTTTATTATTCGTTCTGTAAGTATTCATGAACTATAAACTATTTATATCTTTCTATACTTTGCGTAGATCACCAACCCTGTGTCTCTTACATCAGTCGCGGTGATGCAGGCATTTTGCCCCCATTATTAATGATGATACTTCTTATTTTTTTACCTTACTTGTTATTTCGTACTGTTCGACAACTTCAGAATATCATTGTCCTTTTGTCATTGATAATTACAACTAATTGGCTTTTAGCTCGTTACTGCTATAATATTTACATGTCACATGAAGTAGACATATTTACCGTCTACTTCTTAGTTTGGCAATTTGTTGGTCTTATTTACAAATGGCTCCATCAAGATCTACCGATTATTTCTTTTACTCTTCATCAAAAAGCAACTTGCTTATCTATGGCATTTTTAGCATTTATAACATACGAGGTTGTATTACGACCTCTACCCACATATGTTGGTTTTGCTTTCGTTTGGTTAATGTCTGTTATAGACATGTAAGTCTGTATAAATGGTTTTTATTTCTTTAATAGTCAAACATCCTTGTTACAGTAACATTACAAACATTGCAGGTAGTAATTATTTGAGAGAGAAATAGTTGATCGATAAAGATCTAAAGATACTCGCATTCAAATACAGATTTGAGACACGTGGTATAATCTATAAAATACTCATTTGTTATCGTAAGATGTTGATCACCGAGAATCTAGTTTTTCTTTGATCAACATGTTCGAGACTACTTTACAAGAACTAAGAGCACATCTTTTTCAAATCTATTAAGTCAATGATCGGTAAAGAAATATACATCAATACAAATTAAGAATTTTCTGTAATCTTCAATCTACAAGAATTTTTTTATTCGTGTCAAAATACATTTTATAAGATAAACTCATGCACACTTTTTCTTATTCACAAGACACGCTTGCACAGAAACGAATGCTATGCTGTTTGTTTGCCGAAGGCCTCGCGAAACCCCCTAGACTGTTACGGCCCTTTAATTCTTATGCAGGCTTGTTAAGCATAAAGAGATCAACTCATTTTGCCCTCACTCTCACCTTTGGGCCGCCATCCATGGCTAAAAAATGCTTTCGAGAAAATGCTTTTTGGCGAAGAGCATACTTATGTACCTTTAAAAATTTACATTATACGCTTTATCTTTTTCTATACAAACAGAAACAGCATGCATTTATATCAGATGTTAGATGAAGGATAGGATATCTCACTAGATAATATAATGCAATTGGAAAAATGCATTAGTTATTATATCAAAGAAAGAAAGACAATAGAGAAATAGACCAAGAGAACACCAAGAACAATGCCGGACAAAACGTATGAAAAGAGATAGCTATAATAAACAATATATGTAAAGGAAGCGAGAGGGCGCCCCAAAGATGAGAGTGAGGGCAGAACGAATATATATGGCTAATACCGTTAAAACATTTCTGTCTTATGGTACATCTTTACATATGAACTTTAACAGACTTGAATCATCTAGGATTGACATTAATTGCACTACATGTCAATAAATAACGAGTGATAAAATATTTTTGTCGAACAAAATATTCCTCTTCCCAGTTCGAACAGTACGGTCCGCATACGGCCGTTGACGGTTACTTTACGACTATTTTCCGGGCGAAAGTTTACCGTAATATCTGGCGCAGTAATACGGATCGTATGATGATGAGAGTACGGAGCACAAACAGCCGTAAACCATGAAAATTCAGTCCCGTTTACAGTGCGGTATTACTGTGTCAGGTATTACGGACAAATACGGCCTATTTACTGCTGTAAACATACCGTTTTGGCATCGTTTACCGTGGATAAACAGACCGTAAACGAGTCCGTTTTGATCAACCTGGGTTTGGAAAAATTTCTGCATAAAGTGAAATGTATCTTATAAGCTTTCTGTTCGTTCTCAAAATTTGAGAATGAATTCTTAGATACTGTAATATTTTGAATTTTGATATTGTCTGAATGAATTCATTCCTTCCGTCTTAGTCATACAGACAAGATTTTTGTGTTTTTTTTTATAATAGTGTCGCCTGTTTTCATCTAAAATGTCGTGAGTATGATCCAATAACGGATGCACTGGCGGACGCAATGTTATTTGATTATCCAACAGCTCCACGTGGATATTATTGCGTATCTGATATCAACGAAATGAACGATGATATGGAAAATGAGAACGAGTGTAATTCGATGATTGGATGGGGTGACGTTTTTGCCTTCGATCTTTTATTATTATTGGTTATACCTAACAATTATTCGATTACAATAAGAGCATATACAGCATTCGGCTGTATAGTTTGCGCACAACTTGGTGATCTATGTACTAGTTTCATGCATCCCTATACTGATTCGAATGATTTGCCAGCTGTACCTCTTCCAACGATTGCTGTCACTGCTTACGCAATTGCCATTAATGCCATCATTGAATATTCAAATCTTGACTGTGAAGATCCGTTGAAATGAAGAAAAAGTCTTCATTATCACTGTTGATACTTTAACCCTTCCAATCCTGACATATTTCGTTTGTATTCTGCATGTCATCTCGTAGATGACATGCGGGATTGAAAGGATTAAACTGATTTATTTGTTAGCACTTCTCTCATTACTCATTGATAAATAAAAACTTCATGGTTTAATATTTTTGCGATTTATACCACGAAGAAAAGGTTGATTTTGATTATCAATGGTTGCTATTGAACGCTTTCAGTTTTTTTCGGTTACATAACAGATCCGAGTTCTTATGGATAATCTTTAGGGTTTTCATCATTAAACAGAACAACAATGATGTTTTTGCTAATGAATTGATCATCTTTAAAGTGCAAAATTTTTCGAAAACTATGATACAAATAGGCGTAATGCCTTTAAAGAGAACAGCAACGGATTATTGCATTTCTACTATATTTAATCTATCCAAAGACACATCTAATTTTCTAATCAAGTTAATACTTATTTGTTAGGTGCTAAAGAACAATGAAAATTAGAGAAATCAATCTTTTCTAAGTCTTTTTGATGGGATATTACAGTTTTACTTAGGGTGTACCAAAGGTAATGATGCTAATACCTTCTTTTCGTATAGAAACCTTGAATAAATTTTCTCAGTGATGAATACCATCATTGCTATATAAAAGTATTTAAGATTTATCTGAATTGCAGATTTTTGTAGAACATCGGGATTCTTGCTCGCATCGCATTTCGTATACGAGTGAAGCTCGAATACCATCTAGTTTTTTCTTTTTAACTAGAAATACACATCTTTTTCTTCATTTTCTGTGTTAAAATGATCTCGAGAACGGAAAATCGTAGAAAAGTGGTTAAAACGTGAGATCGAAGTTATTACCCCTGTTTTCGAATCTTCAAACTGAAGTTCCGTTCGCTCAGAAATGTGGTTCCAAAATGGCGAAAATGAACGAAATTTGTGACGAGATAATTAAAATGACGTCATCAACATATGTTAGCTACTATAGTCTATTCATTTACAGCTGATCTTAGATAATGAATCATGGAGATAATTAATCGATCAATCGAAATCGATCCTTAAGAATGTATCGCTAAGTAAGAATAGAGTTTTCAGAGTGATGAATTGCATTATGCCTACATAAAAAGTATTCAACATTTCTCTCAATTGAAGATTTTTCGTAGGAAACTCAGATTCCTGCTTCGCATCGCAGTTTGTATACCAGTGAAACTCTAATACCATCTAGTTTTCTTTCTTTCTCGACATACGCATAAAATTTTCGGATTTTGTATCGCAATGATCCCAGGAACGAAACATCAGAAAATATTCGTTCAAACGCGAGATAAAAATATCAAGTTAGAACCGCTAGGTTTTGCTTTTCGATCTTTATTAGAAGTTTTCCTTTGTTTATAAAGTGCCTGACAAATTTGAGTGAACTTTGTTTTCTTTTCAACATTCGCGATAACTAGATGGCACATGAGTCGAGACTCGTCTGCAAAATGCGGTGCGAAGCTTTTCCGAATGTCGAGTATCGAGATATCGAGATATCGTATGAAATAAATAGTCGTGTTTACAAGACTGAATACACAACATTTTATTTGAAAAAGTATTTCTAGTTTGTTAAATTCAATTCTCTTTTGCTATCAATATAGTGAAAAACGTGAAATGTCGACCGGTAAGTCGACGTTGAAAAAAGTAGACGCTATTGATATTCATTACTATGAGAACTCTATCAGTGAATATCAACTCACTCCTAAAGAATACTATTGATTGATCATTTTAATTATCCATATGACTCATGATCTATTATCATCTGCGATATATAAAATCAGTTGTTCGAAGAGAGCGGCGCCTAACTTTTCTTTCGATTTTCGTTTTAATTATCTCGAATGTAAAAAAAAGCAAAGCCCACTAAAATCTGTCATTTTGTCGAGCTCTTTATACAAACGGAAGCTTCTAATAAAGGCTTGAAGACAAAAGCTAGCGTTCAATCTTGGCATTTTCACCTCACGTTTAAATGAATATTTTATGATTGTCTGTTCTAGAGATCATGGAGACACAAAACACGAACTTTTGGTACGTACGTCGAGAAAGCAAAAAAGAGAAAGAACTAGATGGTATTCAAGTTTCGCTCGAATACGAAATGCGATGCGAAGCACGAATCGAATCTATGATAAAATCTGAGAAACGAACAGCTGATGGAAATTTCATACTTTGACAGCAGACTAACATTTGCGGATGACGTCATTTTAATTATCTCGAAGATTGAAAACGAAAATTCCTTACAAATCCGTGTTTTTGGAAGGGTATTTTTGAGCGAACTGGCTATCTGATGAAAGATTGGAAGAAATATTTGAGCAGTTCAATCTCGATACTTTCACATTTCATTTGAACGACTAAGGGTGCGTGTGTTTGTGGGTGTCCTTTTCTTACTCACACCCACACCCCCTTATCAATGATTAATCGGATTGTATTTAAGAGAAAAAAACCAAATTGGTGACTTCAATGCATATTAACATAAGCTTTTTAGTCCTTATTATTCTAGCCAATTTATCATGTTTAGTTTTTTATTTGTAGTAAGTACTATTTTTATATATTCAGAGTAGAATACTAGTATAAAGACTTTAATTAGAAATTTCTTTTCTTTAATTCATGCTTTTTTTATCATCAAAATTATAAAGTTGTTTTTGTCATGTATCTCATAGATAATAATGTTCTAGATAAATTTAAGAGCAACAAAAATCTGTAAAAGAGCATTTTATTTTGCACTGAAATGTTTGTTTTTTATCTATTGATTTGATTTCCAACTAAAACAAAATGTGAGATGAGGGATCAGTTATGTTTTACATTAATTATTGACTTTCATTAACATGATTAACTTTTGAATAGATCGTTAGGATATTTTATCTCAGTGCTACTCAAATCACTGACAATGAGACTCAAACAGCTTGTGAATACACTAAAACCTAATCAATTAAGCTGAGCTGCTATATCTTTTCTTTTATATTTAGCATAGTTAATGCATTAAGAGTTCGACATAGTTGTTGTATTTGTATGCACTTTATTTCTATTTGTTTGAATCATATCATCACATATTTCCCTATTAATTATTATTTAATAGAATCTTCTAACGCGATATTCGCATGTCATTTATTGAGTGGTGTATTCTTCTACAGAAATTCACTAAATCCAATTGAATGAGTATATATATGTGTCTGTGTGTATTTGAAAGAATAGAAATGAATATTTACATTTACGTCAAAGTATATGGATACGCAAAATGCAAGAATAGGTTCAGAATTTTCATACTAATTAACATGAACGGAAACAACTTTGATAAAATTTACTTTGATGAGCAATTTTCAAGATGATTATTTCGTGTATTCAAAATAAATGTTAGTAAAGTATTCATAAATAAGACTTTGTATCATTTTAGATGACAAGAAAAGTTTTAAGAAAATTATGCAAATGCTGAAATTTAAAAACACATGTTTCAGAGTATAAGACTAGAGCATTTGTGTGAAAAACTAACTTGGAAATTTTATTTCGTTGTTGCGAATTTATAATATTTATATCTCGATACTGCATAACATCTTTTGTTTAGTGAATAGTTTTTCTTTAATATTTACTGTGTGATTGATAACTCTTCGTATTGATATATCAAAATGCAGTCTCCAGGAAAACAACGATTTTGAGAATGGATAATCGATTTGTTTTGAGGTTACACAGAATAATATCAACCAAATACTGAATTTATGCAAAAAATTTCGATTGAGTTAATCTTTCATTTTTCAGAGTTTCGATATTCTACAAGCAATAACCGGAATGTATACGTATTTGTTTTAGACATCAATGCTTACAAATGTAATTATTTCTTTGACATCAGTATGAGTACGTGAAACTCACTTCGACTAGCAGTTCACTTTTAGTACATGATATTATTAATTTGTGTTCAGTGATTGATTTTGAAACTTTTAGAAAAAACGCAACAGTCTGAATGCATTCTTAGAGGCTTTGATGTAAGCTAAAGTTCCACTAGTGTTTAGTCACGCTAAAATTCATTAAGTTTAAAGGTAATGTGTGTAGTTTTTGAAGAATCTTGAATTGAATAACGATTCTACGAGAAACTTTTATATTAACATTTTAATTTGTGTTTTCACGCGAGTCTAAGAAAATTTTCAAATTGTTTTTCTTGACATTATTAGTAGCCTTATTGAAAGAAAGTATAAAATGAAACATAAACTCTACAATAGAAAACATCTAAACTGATTTATGTTAGCAAAACGTTTTCTTTCTGTATAACCGATATTGCTTTTTCTTCTTCAAATATATTTGAAAAATACAATCACTATGTTTTGCGTAGAGAAATGCATTAAAACATATGAGATCAATTCAAAAACGTTAAGGAAAATCATTTATCTGAAATTTTTGACATTGTATTTCACGAAATGGTCTGTTTACTTATTATTTACTGCGCAAATATTTATATTTTTTAAATACATGTTTTCTTTCTAATGCAGACACTCATTGCAATTGGCATTGATAGTAATATTGGTGATCATGATGCATAATTGCTTGCAGAAGTACTAAAAACGAATAAAGTATGTTTTGTTTCTGTCGAAGGTCGTTGCAATATTAAACGTTTATTTTTTCTGGGAGAATATTGAAACATTATTGAAAAAAAGAGATGAAAAGGTTTATTTCGAAAAGTTTTTGATAAGACGTCAAAAGATAAAGAGTGGACAAGAAGTTCTGACTCGATTTCAATAATAAATGTATTTGTAGTAAAATACATAATTTTGAAATTATCTCTGTGAGAAGAAAATGCGATAAAACATGTTCTACAAAATGACTATGGATTGACTTCGCTAACTCAACGAGTAGGAAACTGTGCTTCGCCATAAAGAAAAGCTAACAACAAGTCCGGTCTATATAGTGATGCTTTGAGTAAAAGATTTTTCGATCATGTTTGTTTCATTCTGATTAGAATTGATTGTTCATCTCTATTGAATTGCCAAGTCAAAACTTCGGTCACGTTCTTCGTTTTTTCTCTCACTTTCGCTATTCTTCTCAAAAATGACACAAGAAAAAAGTTCAAATCGAAAGATATTCCAGTTTTACAAACTTTCCACTTTTGGTATGATTTTATAGAGAAATTCTCGATACTTCGATTGAGAAAAACAAGAATTTGTTTCATGGCATCTGATATAGTAACACGACTCAAATCCATTTCGTCGTTAGTTCTTTGTTGTGGAACGTATTTCTAAGACTATAAAATTTTTACTAAACGAGATAGTGTAATTAATCAATAGTCATCATTGCAGAGCGTATGTTACTGCATTTTATCCTCATAGAGACAAAACCATAGTTACTTATTTTACTATCGAAAAACCTCTTATTCAAATTGATTCTGGATTTCTAGTCCACCCTTTATTCGTAAACAAATAGAGTATTTTTCCATAAGCATTTCTATGAAATGTGAACAATGAATGTTTTAGATAGAAATCAAAGAAGATAAAAAAGAAGTAATAATACTTCAGTCTTCTTGGACGTATGAAAGAATACATCGCAGTTAAATGTCCATACTGATTCTGTTTTACGAATTTTCTTGTCATACTTTTGAGAATATCATTCAGTTTTAAGTAAACAGTAAAACAGCTGCATTTGTTTTGGATTCATTTCGTTGCATGTGGAATAAATCAGAATTTTCATAGATCGCTGATTCATTTTCTATGCTTTCTATCAGTATCTTGATTTTCAGCTCCGAATTTAATGACTCTATTATTTATCCTTAAATTCTTAAAAACAAATTTTCCATTGATTACAATCTAGAACCGTTTATCAGATATAACTATTAGTAGAAGATCGAGATGCACATTCACACCCTACTTTTTTGGTGACAAAAATTTTAATATATTTCATCAAGTTTTATCGTGTAAGTCTACATCATGAAATGTTTTCATTGTTAAACACACTTACTGCATAAATTCGATTTTTTTTGTTTGAAAAAAAATCTACAATTATTGCGTCATCAGAAATGTTTTTAAACATTATCATTATTTCAGTTTTGCTGGGCAATATTTATTTGTCGTTGTTTTTTTTACATTGATCTAAACTCGACATACTTACAAATGTATTAGACTCATTTATTTCTATAGGAAAGAATAATCTGAACGTATACATTCGATTTCTGTCTTACACAGTAAATATTTAACCTATATATAATAAAAAAAAGACAGTTTCCCAGTTGTTGGCTTAAATAAATGTGGAAACTTCGGATTTCATCCGAAAGTTATGTGTACTGCAAAAAGTGCATGGGATATATGAGTCATTCTAGAATGTCTGAACACCAAAATTATCATGAGAAACTAGGCAATTTGATTTCTGGATGCAGTTTTTGTGCATTTTGAGACGTTTTTCAGGCGATGTTTCATCAGAAAGCTACGGTTTAGCTCAAAACTAATATCAGATTCGGAATCAGCGTTAAAAACTGAGTCGATTTATATATGTTGTGAATAATTCTGAGAAAGATTTATTTTTTGAAAAAAAATTCCCTGTACTCCTCTCCTCAGGGATGGCCTGGTCAAAAATGACAATTTTTCCGATAACTCAGCCATTTCTTGAGGGATTCTTCTCATCTTCGAACTCGACCGAGATATTCATGAGATCGAACTGTGTGGAAAATTTCATCGCGGTCTGACTCTCCTTTCGCAAGTTATCGTGCCTACGGCCGGACACACTGACCGATTCTAGAGTGTACTCACTTTTTGAGTACACAAAAATCATGTTGATATTGGATGTTGAATATAAAATCGACGCAATCTCTTTTTGTTTTCTTTTAGCAATTGCTTTAATTCTCATTCTTGAAAACAAATTCTTAATAACTTTCTTAAACAGGCGGCAGACGAGCGAGCGATGAATTCCTAGTTATGAAACATAAAGTGTTACGAGAATTTTATTTGGGATCAGTGGAGAGTTTTTTGAAAAATTAATTTTTACTATCGCTAGAATTCATTATCTCAATAAGATTTCCACCAATCTTTGTCTATTCTGTTTCATTCTGATTTCCATTAAAAACAATAATTAGATAAAACTCGGCTGTGTTTATTGACTATATAAGATCACAATATTTTGGACAACGATACATATTTGAATTTTTTTCACCCATTTTTTTAAAGGACGCATATACAAAATATTTTCGAATAAAAAAAGCTCGATTTATGTAGTCGCTGCAGCAGTAATTTGAGGTAATTTAGGCAAGTCGGATACGCTGCCGTTACTTCTTGAATCAGATGAACTTCCATTTTGTATTGTATTGATTCCTTGTGTTAGAAATGCATTATTTCTGTTATCATGATTAGTATCCAACGGACGATTCTCATTTTCCAAACGATTTCTATATGAAAAATCATTAAATATGGATCATTCAAGTTGCATTTTAACATTACTCGTTCATAGTTAATTCTGTCATATTAGCTTTTCTTGCATTCATTCGTATGAATAAAGCTCGAAGTACTTGTTCTTTTTGTTCCCATGTTAAATCAGCAATATCAACTTCTGTACCAAGATTTGTCCTATTAAATGACATACAATTAAAAATGAATTCTAATAATGTTTGAACGTTTTTTTGGTTTGGTTATGTACAAAAACCATTCATCTTCAAAAACGTTTTAATGTTTTACACTTTTTCTTTACAACTTAATGAAAAGTAAATATTTGTCTTATTGAAGTTGTTGAGCTGCTGACGCATAGAACAGATCGATTGAGATAGAGAAGCAAATTCATTGCAACGAAATCATACAATCGTAAAACTTCTTTCTAAGGAATCAAGAAAGCGACTTAACCTTCGCACCAGATTGGAGATGAAAAAATCTATCGAAAAAAAAAACTTTTGCTTTCTAAACCCTCAGAAATGACCTATGATTTCATTTTTTTCACATAGATCTGAATTTAGCAGAGAAAATTTTACACTGTCAGATATATTGTATATCGAATTTAAAAATCATGCGAAACTCCTCTTCATTCATACTAACAGAATTTCAATCGAGAATGCCTGAAGAGAATATATTGCAGATTTTTAAAGTGCGTTTTTATTTCATTACTAATTTCTATCGAATTCGTTGGCGACTCATAATCGAATTGCAATATTTTATTATCAAGAAAAGTTTGTCAATACTTGATTTAAGATTGTGGCTACCATCGCTTGGATCGTCTCTCTTGTTAGAACAATGTTTTTGTGAAATACATCTTAAATATGGAAGTATCAACGGTAGCATTCTGTATCCATCTTATTCTCTCATAGATCACGACATAAGTTTTTGACGCTTGAATACAAACTGTCAATCAATTACATACAACGAGGAAAGAGCAAGACTCGTGAACTTTCGGGCTATATGCTTGGAGTATTTTTGAAAAATTTTGAGCTTTTCCAATACTTATTTTGATTAGTGTTTCGGTGTATAAATGAGAGTGCACTCCAGGTAAATCTAACGATTACTAAGGTTGAAATACTTGATCTTATTCTACGGACACTCATATCTCGGAATAGAATGTTATTTTTGAACTCTCACATCTGATAGACTTGAGTAATCTGAATTTCTATTTCTATTCTGGAACACTAGTCAATATAAGAATTCAAAATTTTGCAAGAATACTTCTGAAGAAAATAGGGAGTGAAAGTCTCACTGCTGACCTCCCCATTACATATATCACTAATTAGGAATCATTGTGATAAGGCTCGTGTATCTCTCATTGCCATTTCAATCCTTAGTAGCTAGACTAGACTACCGTTACAGACATAAACAAATAGATATATGTCTCAATTATCGATCTTAGAAATATGGCATCAGGATGGTGACTCTAAAGCCTATGAATAAGTTCCAAATTTTAGCCTCAAAGGAGCTGCGCTAATAAGCTTTTTATCCAATAGATATTTCACTAACTTTTAGCAAGACTTCAAATACAAGCCTCGTATCTTATACAAAAAACTAACTTTACCATTTTGTTGCTTCTTCTAAATCATGAAAAACACTATTTGTACTGTATCCATGAAATGTTTCATTAAATGTTCGTATTCTGGGATAATCTCCTTGTCCATGATGAGCATTTAACATTCGATTTTGATAAGCACTAAATGCATCTTTTCGATATTGTAAACGATTTAAAGCAATTTGTTTTTTAACATGTTGTAAAGCATCTAAGAAGAATGTTTCTAATTCTGTACGTTGTTCAATAATAATCTTAGCTAATTTTCTAACTTTATTCATTTCTTTTGTTTTTAATTCTAATCCACGTTGTAATTTTATTATGTCAGCACGCGATGATTCATGTTTAATACGCGATTCTTCAATAATATTTTTTCGTTCAACATCGAATTCCTGTATAAATTGTGTTAATGATGATTCTAGTATCTGAATTTTTTCTTTTAACTAATAAGAAAATATATTTTAAAAATTATTTGAATTAATTATTTTCGTTATTTTTACTTCTCTGATAACATTATTTTGTTTGTGAACTTGTTCAAGTTTTTCTTTTATTAATATTTCATTTAATTCTTTATCATTACTTGTATTTGCTATTAATCTTAACAGTTGTTCTTTTAATCTTTGTAATTCATCCATTTCTTGTTTATGTGTACGTAGTGATTCAATAAGCTCAATATTTTCTTTATAGACATTACGATTTGTTTCGTCTAAACTTCTACAAAGTAGAAAAAGAAATTTGACGGAAACGATGTTTGCTGCGATTTTACTTTAATGCTTCTTCTTGTGCGCGTGTAGCTATTTCGTCAATTTTCTTATTTGATTCTTGTTGTAAACGCATTTTTTCTTCGAAAAATTTCAGTTCTAATTTCGATACTGTATCTTTATGTTCACGTTCGTTAGAGATCATTGCTTCTTTTATCTACGATAGAATTGTTCCTAAAATTTTATTTTAAAGAAAATTTGGAAATTTTACTTCTTCGAGTTCTTTTTGCATTTGAGTCTTTTTCTTACGAAATTCTTTCACTTGATTAAGTTCATGACGAACTATTTCAAGTTCGCTGTCTTTCCGAGATAATTTGTCATCTAATTGACGTTTTTCTCGAGTAAAATCACTGATCTTAGAGAACAAAAACAGATGAACATTATTATTATGCTTGTTTATATTATCGATTGATACATACTAATTCATCCTTCATTTTTCGATGGTTCATTTTGAGAATTTTAACATTCTGTTGGAATCGATCTATCTGTTCATAGTAAAGACGACACAACATTTTTGTTTAGGTATGAGAAAAAACAATTCTTATTTACGTCGGCATCTTTATCAGCATCTTGTTTTTTAAGAAAAGTTACAACATCAATGGTATCTTTTTCCGTTAGACGCATTTGATCCCGCATGGCTTCATTTTCATTAGCCAGACTATTAGCTATGTCTCTATTCGGAGTAAAAATAAAATTATAAAATCAAAATTAAAGTTTCTATTTATCTAACCGATAATGTTTCCGCGATAGATCCATCATGGTCACTTGAGCTTCCCATAGATTTGAATTATGAAGGCCCATTTTAAGAGCTGCCTCTTCTTTTTCTTGAGTTTTTTTACTATAATATTCAATTGTTCATCAATCTGATTGTCGATTTGTAATTAAGAAAATCTTACCCCTTTTTGCCCTTTTTTCCTTTGCCACCTTTTTTTCCTTTTGCTTTTTTCGGCATCGTTCAATCTAGTAAAATAAAAAGTAACTAAAATCAAAACGCGTTAAAGTCAATCGCCATTTCCAACTGATTTGTTTACAAAAGAATCAGCAACAACCTCTGTAGTTTAGTCATGATTGGCAAGCAGATGTCAGTCGATGATGATCAAGTACAAGCGAGAAACTCGATAGACAACGATTTCTTTTTCGCTTCTACCTGAAAATTTTCGCACATACAAAAGAATTAACGTCATTTTACGCGTTAAAGTGTAAATCACAAAAAAGAAATTAATCAATAAGTTTTTTTTTTATAATTCACTCAACAGTTGAAGTTCGGTCGTCGAGACAACATGCTATGCACGCATAATTTTGCTAGCGTACCTGTACGAAAGCGCTTCAGTTAATCAGATTTATTTCTTTTCTTCTTGCTTGTTTGGCTTAGAGTAATTTAATAGAAAAAAAACACCATCAGTAAAATATCGATGGTATAAGCATTGATGAAAAAAAACGTTTTTCTTTTTATTCTCTCTCTCTCTCTCTTTCTCTCACAGTCAGAAGACGAAAAACTCTCTTTTGAAATTTTTTGTTAAGTGCTTATTTTTTATGCGTCCCTAATACATGAAGCGCAAATCTTTGAAACGTTCGATTTATAACAAAAATACCAAACATTCAATTAGTTCACCATCATCAACTATTGATGCTTCAACAATAGGACCACATCAAGTCGATTTAGGCATCGGAACTGTTCATTTAGATTCGCATGCACCCTGTTTAAAAGCAAATTTAATATTAAAAAGTCAAAAAACTCTCAAACGAGATTTACTTCGATGTAGTGATCAACGGCCATCGCTTCTCGGTTCACAAACATTACAACCTCCACGTATTCATCATGGATCTCAACAGACGAATACGTCGGGTTCATCGTCAACGTCATTACCCGTTGCTCATCAACAGTCAGTTCGTCATCATTCTTTATCGATGAATTCACGTACGCTACTTGCTACAATCGATCGGATAGGACCATGGCCAGACATATCCATAAGCCGTTTGCGTTCAGATGGAAATGATTTATTACGGCCATTAAAAACTTTTCGCAACTCAAAAAATCCTCGAGTGTTTTCACCAAAATATTATGCTGGATTAAATGAAAATACCAGTAAATTTAAATTTTATCCAACAACACGCACTTATATTGACGAGTATCGAAAACAAAAAGGTTATGTACTCGACGCACAAAGAGGAACTCGAGTCAGTTCTCTATCATTAATAGCATCATTAACACTACCACAATGCGATGATGAACAACTTTCTGCTGTAGATGCATTTGGTAGTGCCGTATCTGTTGATATTTATAAAAGTTCGATGGGAGATCGAGCAGCTGTATCAACGGCAGAACTAGCACTACCAAATAATAATCCATTGACAAGATCAGCAAATGATTTGTTTGAATATAGTAGTACGCCACCATCAATTCCAGCTGTGACAAGAGTTTTTACTGATCCAAATCATGTAAGTAATTTTCCATTGATACCCATGCGCAATGGTCATCTACGCCCAGTTCGTCAAGCGCCACATCATACAATTATTGCTCAGCAATCGCAACATCAACAATCTATGACATTACCTTCATTGACAGGTTCATCTCTTCATTATGCTTCGAGTATGAGTTCAATTGAAAAGGCTTATTCAAATAGTAAAAAATCGCCAACACAAAAGCAATCGAAATTATTCTTTATCGATGAACGAAACCGGCAAAGGTATATATAAATATGGATCTCATCTACAAAACATAATTTGATATTTATCATAGACATCGAATAGCCCAACGATTTGTCAGTGATAGTGACGTAAGAGTTTTTATTTTTATTTTTATTTTACTAGTATTAATCGAGTCGTTGTTTTTAATTTAATTTCCTTTTCTCAAATATTATAGATACCATGCCGACCGCAAGAGCTTATCGATATTCAAGCTACCGGTGCTCCAGTACCAACAAATATATCACGATCAACTGCTATAGTGGTTTATCAATTACCTCGTCGGCCACCACAACTATTAACTAGTCAAAAAAATGTTGGACCGTTAAGTTAAAGCTGATAAAGAGAGAGAGAATGAAAAAAAAAATAAGAAGTATTTTAGTGATTATGAAATTAGTGTTTATGTATACAAAAGAAAATATTTTTTGCTTTTTGTATTAATTGTGAATAGAGCATTTACTTGAAATCTGCAGTTTTTTTTTAAATGAAATAATATTGTTTTTAACAAAATTCTATCCAAAATTAGGAAAGATCAATATAAATGACTAATGTACGCCATGCCATGTCGATATAGATACATGCAGATTCTTATTTGTTCTTCACTTTGAGAGAGTCCACTTGGTTATAGACATATTTTAATCAAAATTCTAAGTTATTTAACTTTGTTTCATGAGCTTAACAACTAAAATAGAAATTAATTGAAACTCCATTATCCGTTGTTTGCTTTTAAGATTTGAATCATCTTTATAGAACCGAATCGTGAGGTTTTTTAAAATATATTTCTAACTGTATGTAACCTAGTGTAAGACAACTGTGAATAAAAATAATTAAATAGTCAATCGATATCGTTCTCTGAAATGATATTAATTAATTTTGAAATAATTACTATTCCTTGAATTCCTAGTGGTTAAACCTACGACCAAGACTACATCTACTGAGTTTTCTGAATTCAATTATTCATTTTCATGTGATATCTTGTTTGTATAAAATTCGAAAAGTATTTCGTAAGATCTTTACATTGTAATGTCCTCTTCGAGAGAACGATGGCTCGCTAAAAAATTCTTTTGAACTTTGCGAAAGAGATTTCTATCTAGCGATGTTAGAGAATCTTTGAAAAGCCTTTAAAAATTATGATTTTGACTACCAGATACGCATCGTAAATTATCATCGCGCGAGAAATGATAATGAAAGAAACAGTAAATATACACTTGTCAACTGTCTCATTTGCATACCTAAAATAAGTAAAAGTTGTTTGAAGAATAGTATTATGAAATTCTTATATTTGAAAGGAAAACCAAATTCTATCACTTAAATTCTATATCTATATTGACCATTCTTCTAGAATGAGAATTCAAGAGTAAGTCTGGCCGTTCCAAATACATTTGAAAACTTTTAAGAAAATCATTGAAATTGAACAGAACTTCTTATTTGTTGCTCTTTTTTAAATTTATAATTTTTTTTCCGACACGGTACTCTCAAGCTGCAATAATCTTTCAAAATTTTCCTTCGTCTGAAACTTAGAAAAAAAAAACAGAAAGTTTTAAATAAAGTGAAATTTCACAACAAACGTCAGAGCATATTTTTTCATGTATATGAAATACTAAAGTGTTTCAAGGAAGACAATCGTGTTTGATGGAAACATCGAAATTTTGCAAATAGTTCAAATGCATACATGGACCTCTTTATTGACCACAAAAATTCACTGATAAAGAAATATAGAAGAAATTTGCTCCATTTTATGTAATTAGTTATACCATACCAGACATGCTAAACAAAAAAAAAACAAGAGAAAAATTCACAAGGTTATTGGTCCATAGCTATTATGGTGGTCATAGAAGTATTATTTCAATTATCTTTACCTTCAGAAACAGATAGCGTAGTCGTTTTTTTTAATATAGTTGTTCCTATGAGAACAAAAGGATGTCGCAAGATGACAATGTACTTTTTTTCCTGTTCTCCCGTTCCCTCTGTTTTCTATTGGTCAATTATTTTGACGTGAATAAAAAAACGATTAAAGAAAGAACAATAAACAGTAAACAACAAATAACACTTCTTCGTCGCTTCTTTTCGTCTTGTACATCCGTAGAGATTCGATAATCTGTCATCATTTTATATTTTTCTCTAGTCTAAATTATTAACACGCCAATAAAAGACTTCTACTCATCATGGACTTGCCATCCATTAACTTGATAACCGCAGCACCGCTCAATGATGGTTTGAATTTTTCAACGAGATAAAAAGAATCCCTTTTCATGCGTATTTTCTCTTATGTTTTTCTAGTCGTACGTGAATTGCCAGTTTTATCATTGGCAAATCCAGGTATGGAACGAATTGTTGATAGTAGTACAGCTGAATATACGAGCATGCTACTCAACTGTCGTGATGGTTCATTAGCACAACAACTTGCACATAAACTTTCAATTGTATCAAATACAGCTACATCAATGTAAATAAATCAATTTAGAAATAAGTTAACATTTATTTCTCTCCTTAGTACACTCCGTCATCCGCCGGATCCACCACCGCCCCCAATACAGGCATTACCACCTCTTTTACAAACAGCAATGCAATATAATCCGAATATTTTCAATGGTATGAAACACTCTCATTTCTTTTGCTTATTACATTGTATTTAATTTTCTCTATTTAGGAGTTTGTCTGCCTCCATCTTCATTTTCACGACCTTTTTCGTTAGTATACTTTTAACTTATATAATCTATAGACTTTATTAAATTTAGATCGCCAACAAATCTTTATTCTCATTATCCTAATCATCATTTTCCACAGCAAGTAAGTCCAAGTAACAATGGTGGCTATAATCCAACAACAGCATCAGCAACATCATGTAAGTGAACGAAAAAAAAAGAATAACGCTAGAGCGGGAAACTTTGTATTTCTAGCTTATCTTCCACGTGGTTTCATGCCAACCACAATAGCAACAAATCAGCCACCATCTGATTGTCAATCACTACTCTATCCTCAAACATCACCACTTACTCCTCATCGTCCAACACGACCAACAGCTGTTGTACCACCTTTACCTAAAGATCCAATTATATCCTCGCCAGTGAGTTCAATGACAACTACACCATCAATGACACCACAATCGTCATCATTGAATTATCAACAAGTTTCACCACAGAAAACATCCAATAATGAATCAAACTATCAGAAACAGGTGAATAAATAGAAACAGAGAATTTTAAATAATGCACACTAACGATTCTATTCCATTAAACACGTTATTCAAAGAAATCGTTTAGACTATAGCAAAGAAAAGAAAAAAATATTCCCACGTGCTCTCTTTTGAATATCGATCGTATTGTCTGAACCGTTAGAAAACGAAACATATCTTTATTTCTATTTCTTTCGTATAGATCGGAACGTTGCAATCACATGAAATTGCACATAAACCTTCACATACAGTTATAAATAATGATTTAAATGAAGATATGACTAAGAAACCTGGTAAGTAATGAATACAATTGAAAATCGATTTTGTAAAGAGGTTTTTTTCTAATTTAATATTCAACTCCAGTTATTCAACAAGAACCAATACATCCACAAATAGAAAAAATTCGAATTAATCTTCATAAAATACATCATGAAGATCCAGGTAAATAGATTATACTTGAATTTAATTTCACGAGAACTGTCGAAACGATTATACACAAAAGTAATCCGCATTGATGTTTTAAGACGATTGAAAAATTCTAGTGATTGCTCTAGTATATTATTACAAAGCTTTTCAGTCATAGCAGATCAGTATTTTTTTAGAGCGAATTGCTCATTAGAGTATCTATTCATACTGACAGAGATCACGCTACAAGAGAGTTCACTAGAATAATTCGCCACTGAAGGTTCTAGCTTTCGATTAGTTTCTATCATTTTGTTTAAGAAAGTTAATCTTTTTTTTAAAATTTTTAGCATCCATCAAAAGTACATCTCCTTCTAAACAACGTTCGATAAAACCAAATATTACACCACAATTAAATCATTTACCAGCTGATTTTACTCCTGATTTAATCAAAGAACTATTACAAGATGGTTATTCACTTGACAATAGTGCTGGCGAACGTTCACTTCGACAACGTCGTTCAGGTAATAGTAATACGACATCTTCAAATAATTCTCCAAAGAAAAAACGTGTACGAAGTTTGTCAACTGAAGACGACGATGATGATAATAATGATGATGATGATATAAACGATATGGATAATGATGAAGAACAACAACCATTGAAAAAACGTATACGTCGTACAAACGATCATTCACTTAATAACATTTCAATTGATGTTATGAGCGCATTAAATAAGAAAACGCGAGATCGTTTAGCACGTAAAGCATTAGACATTGATGCTGATCCGCAAGAAAATGCCTCATATCAACGGTTTGTACAATTATTAGATATATTTAACGATGATTATGAACGTCATCATGAACAATTTGAACAAACACCTGATGATCATTATCTCGATCTTTTATTATCTGATCATACATTAGATGAAATGGCCATATTATCAGAAAAATTGAAACTCTCAACATATATGTCACGTATTGATCGAACGAAATTAAAACGTTTATTAGAAATTTTATCATTACGTATTAAACAAGGTATTGAAATAAGTCCTATACTTAAACATGATATTAACGATGATCAATCGAATGAAGAAGAAGAACGTATATGGAGAGATTTAGTATTCGAACGTTTAACAATGTGTGCAAATGCTTGCGAAATAAGTTTAAATATAATGACAACGGATCATATGCCAAAAGAAATTCTAATTGAACATGTTATTGAACATACAGCATTATTTATAAAAGCACAATTAGCTAAGACAATATTTCCTGAGCATGATCCATTATATAGAAATGATAATCATTCAAAAGGTAATCAAGAAGAAAGAAAAAAGTCGAATGAAAATTCTTTATTCATTTTTTTTTTGTTGTTCTTAGATCCTTCATTAACAAAACAAAAACGTTCGAAAGTTACTGGAACAAAATGCAAACAAGTTCAAATACTTTACAATAAAATTGTTTCACTTTTTCAAGGAATTACTGATTTAATGCCATTAGGAAAATATACAGATACAATTATTCTTGCCGTAAGTTCTTTTTTCCTCTATCTCGTATTCATCAAAATGATGGAACGTATATAAATAATTTGCTGTTGACATCTGAACCGATAGCATTTTGTTTGCTTCATTCTTCCATGGCTGTTTTAAGAGAACGCCATCTATCGACAGATTTTTGATAATACAAGAATTATTAGATTAGTTTCGATTTAAATTTACTAGTAACTTGAAGCAATGCTAGAAGTCTTACAGTGTCTATAAGCTTGAACTGACATATTCTTCACCCTTCAACCTAGCGCGTATCAAAGCCAACCACTGGAAGAGTGATGATTTAGGAATCATATAAAAAAATTTAATCTTTCGTAACAACTCGAAGTTCTGTTGATTTTCAGTACCTAGTCTATATTCTTCGAAACAGAATAGTTATCAACATGTTCTCTTCATAGAAAAGCGTGAATTTTTATACTATGTTAAACATTTATTTAGATTTCTTCCTTCACCGTCAGTTGCATTTATGTTGAAAACATTGTTGACATTCAAGCTCATTCGTTACGTATTCTCACAGAATTATTTTCTCGTTATGAACATCATCGGGATTCAATACTTGAAGATCTCCTTTTATCCATAGCACGTTTACCAACAAGTAAAAAAAGTCTTCGTTGTTATCGTTTACCATCGGGCGAATCCATTCAAATGTTTACTGCCTTGATAATGCATTTAATTCATGCACCTGTCTCATTAGGATCAGTAACAAATTTGAATCTAATTGATACAACAAATGAATTATATTTATTAAATACCTATACAACAGCACAAAATTTAGCATTTAAATTTTTAACATTATTTTTTCGTTCGTGTGGAACAAAGCAAGGCGAAGATGATTATCGTATTGTATTTGAAAATTTTTTAGCTGATTTACTTGTTACGGCTAATCGACCTGAATGGCCAGCATCGGAAATACTTTTAACATTGTTATCACGTATTTTAATGACAAATTTTTCCAATCATTCTCTACCGATCAATACACGTTTACAATCATTAGATTATCTAGGTTCAGTTGCAGCACAATTACGAAAAGATACAATTGATAATGATGTTTTAAATTCAAAAGAAAATCAAGATAAACTTGATCAAATTGTTCATAAAGTAAAATTTATAAACGAAATAAAATATGTAAATTCTTCTTTTCTATTTAATAGACTTTATCGAGTATTGAATTAGACGAAGATCTTATGGAAGTTTATAAAACTGACCCATTACGTTATCATCGTAGTTTAGTTATTTATCTCAATGAATTAAGTTTAAGCGATCAAACAAGTCATGTAAGTTTCAATTAAATCTTCACTATTCATAAGGATAAAATTTTTCTATTGTAACCATTTCTAATCTCTGAAACAATTAATTTTTTTAGTTTGCAAAAATGTTTCATATTGGTCAGTGGCTTCGAGATTTAAATTTAACAGTAGAACGTTTAACTCAAACTTTAACAAGACGAATGAAATCTAGTCAAGCCGAAATCGTCGATGACGATGTCGATGAATCAATGAATACTAATGGTTCTAAACCTTCGATTTCTGTTGAAGATGAAATCGAAATAAAAAAATCTGAAAAACTTTCTACACTGAAAATGTTATCGATACCAGAAATTGCACGTAAACAACAACGATATACATTAGATATTGAATATGATGATATTTGTTTATTAATGCGTTATTTAACCTCAAATCGACCATTTTTAAAAACATTTGATGTTTATCTTAAACAACTAGCCGCTATATTTCAATCAGAAGCTGGTACAAATATTCGTAGTAAAGCAATGAAATGTTTATGTACAGTTGTTGAAGCTGATCCGACCGTTTTAGCACGTAATGATATTAAATCGTGTGTTAAAGTTGGCTTAACCGATAAAAGTATTAGTGTACGTGAAGCAGCTATTGATCTTATTGGAAGATATATTGTACAAAAACAAGAACTCATTTTGCAATATTATGATGTTCTCTGTGAAAGAAGCATTGATACAGGTAAGATGAAAATTTAACACTGTTAAATTAGTAACGAGATTACTCTTGGTTCCGGATATTAAAAAAAACAAAGAATTTTTATTGAAAAATATTCGATTGAGAGATTTGATTAAATCATCAATTCTTCTACTATCGTTTTAATTAAATTGAAGCCAAACGAGTACAATTCATCATATTTTCATTGTTGAATTTATGTCCCTTTGTTGACCTAATTAGCTCACGTTGAATTAAGACCCGGTGGGCTCTAGGTGATGCCCTTTTGAAAAATAGATTTCTCCCTCGGAAACCGTTTACACTACCTTATTATTGATTTATTATAGGTGTGAGTGTTCGAAAGCGAGTTGTTAAAATTTTTCGTGATGTGTGTTTGACACAACCAAGTTTTTCTCGTATACCTGATATTTGTTCACGATTATTACGACGTATTCACGACGAAGAATCGATACGCAAATTAGTGCTTGAAACCTTTCAACAGCTATGGTTTTCTCCGACTCGAAGTCAACAAGATGTTCGACAACGTGTTCAAACAATCATCGATGTCTTAGTCGATGCACAAAAACAAAATTATACGTGGCTAGAAAATTTAGTTAAAGAATTTCTTCATACAAATGATCAACAATCAATTGATGATAAGAAAAAAGTTCGTGAACAACGTAAAGATGTTCTCAAAGCTATTCAAGATATTATTGATGAATTAGTTGAATCTATTCTTAAAATTGAATCTGCAAATGATCAAGTTTGTTTTAAATTCTCTTTTTTTTTGTTTGTTTCATAAATCATAAACAACTTTTCTACTCTTAGGTGTCGTCCAATAAAATGGTTGCAACATTTATAGCTCTATATGCCTTAGGTAAAGCTAAACCTGAATATGTCTTACCACATGTATCAACTATTGTTGAATATTTAAACATAAAATGTACATCATATAATGATAATATTATTGTTCAATATGTTGCTAAAATACTTGAATTTACGGTTCCATTAATGAAATCGGCTTCAGCAAGTATTATCTATTCATTAGAAGGAAGTTTAACCAAACTCCTTCTTGTCAGTGGCCAGTTAGTTATACATTCAAGCATAGCTTGTCTATCGGCTGTTATTCGTCTATCGAAAAATACTCAACTTGTTAAAGATGTTTTCGTACGATATCATTGTAAGTTTTAAAGAAACAAACCATGAACAGATTGTTTTTCTTAAGTTTGCTGTTTGTTTAGCGATTGTTGTGCAATGTCAACAGAAAATATTAGAAAATCCTAATGAAGAATTTAAAGGAAGTGCACAATTGGCTCGATCAATTTATATCTTAGGAGTTCTATGCAAATATTTCGATGTGGAAAAACATGAGTTCGATGAACTCGAGGTAAATAAGTCAACTTAAAATAACCGATTCTTGTGAGAACGATATTGTCTGTTAGAAGATACGGCTACATAAATAAAATGTCTTATAGATATATATATGGTCCGGATGGATGTTTATATTTCAGGATAAAGTTCAAATTTTCATAATACATGGTTTGCCGAAACAATAAGATTTCACTCGCAAGAATTCTAGCATTGAAAGTTTAAACTTTTTAATTCAATCAGAGACGACTCACAGCTTCCTACTCATTCTTATCGATGATAGAAAAAGTTACTATAATTTCTTTTTTTTCTTTGCGATAGTTTTCTGTCGATGATTTGTTTCAATTATTTATATTTCTTGTTCAACGACCTGAGTCTGTTGTTAAATTAAAATCTCTTGTTGGTCTTGGTTTCTTTTTACAACGTTATGGGCAATATCTTGTACGCGATACAATTCGTCAATTATATCACACATATTTACTTGATCGTCGTCCAGCAGCGGCTCAATTACGTTGTCAAGTTTTAATTAATTTAGAAGAATATTTTCGTGATTGTATACGTCGTATGGCTGAACAAGATATCGATTATCTTCATTTATCAACAACTGCAACAACAACGACGACGACGACGACAGCAACAACAGTAACAAATGACGATGAAAATAGCAATGATGCTAATGGTCCAACAGGGGCTAATCTTAAAGATACCACTGATGTACATTCAGAAATGGCTAGTTCAATAGCTCAATGTTATTTACGTATTGTCTTAGAAACATATTTAAGTGAAGATGAAACAATACGACAATGTGTACGAAAAGTTGTAACGTGTATATTAGAACAAGGTCTTGTACATCCTGTACAATTTATTCCATACCTTATTGCAATGACAACTGATCGTGATACAAATATTCAACAGAGTGCTGAACAAAACCTACAAGATTTAGATAAGACAAATCCGGGTATTATACAAACAAAAGTTATGAATGGATTTAAAATGAGTTATCAATTACAAAAATTACTTGCAATAGCAAATAATAACAAAAATAATTCACAATCCAATGCACACACTGAAGCTATTAGAGGTAAGATTTTCAATTTCCCTTTGCTTCATATACTACAGTACAGTGACTTGGATGGATGATGATGCAGATTTTATTTCGATTATTTTAGCATAATAGAAAATTAAAGAATCAACCAAGCGTGTGAATTGAATGTAGAAAGCTATTTTTCAGATGTAGGACGATGATTAGTGTGATTAACTTCTTTTGAATTTTGTGTAAGATAGGATTACTTCAATAGGAGACATAGAGAAGACAATGTGAATCCGTTGAAGCTTTGCATAAATATTCACTTCTTCAAGAAATTTCTTTTCCTATTTTTAAATTAGAGCGTCTTACGTATGATGCAAGAGTTTATCCCAATGGTTTTCTAAGTGATATACGGCCATCTCTGAGAGTGAAAGTACTTCGACTAATGGCATCTGAAATTTTCTGATTAAATACTAAGAGTTATCTTGAGAAAATATTTTCTCATTGATTTTTTAGGCATGACCAAAGTAGCAGTAACTCCGGCGAATAATCAACAATCTCCATATTGTTCAATAAATCATTTTCTCTACTCATTAATTCGTTCTTCACGTGTTTATCGTCGTGGTTTAATATCTCAACTATTAAAAATGTTTGATAATGACGCAACAGCAACAACATCAATAACACTCGAAGAACAATTATTTGTTGCAGATAATCTAGCTTATTTTCCATATCAAGTACAAGATGAACCATTATATTTAATTGAGCAAATTGATTTAACAGTTAGTGTTAGTGGTTCAACACAACTGCAACAATTTCGTGATTTATTAAAACAATATCTAGATTATGTTGATGACGATGAAGGTATTGATATAAATAAATTAGAAGATAAATTTTTAAATTTATCTGATGCAATCATCGATGAACTAAATCAATGTTTACGTACATCAAAATCTACTATGTTATTATTACTATTAAAATCTTATCTTAAAGATGTATATAGTTTAAATGATACAAAAATAACTGAATATGATCATACAGAAAGTAGTAAAATAACTGATCGACCAATAATAACACGTAAAATGAATGTAAAATTCGAACCTAAAATAGTTCTTGATACAATAAAACCATCCAATCATATGGATAACATTCAACGGCGTAAACAAATTTTAAAAGATTTTGCAGATTTTAAACGTTATTTACTTGCATTTGATACAGATACAGATGATACAGCATCATCAATAACTGAACTATTACCAGCAACATCATTAACGCCGAAAGCGAAGAAAAAGTCTGCAGGAACAACTAAACGACGAAAAGTTATGATCGATTCAGATGATGACAGTGCCGATGGCAATTTTCAGCCATAGTCTATCTTTTCTCTTTTGTTTTATATAATATATATATTATGTATGCTTTTTTTATATGATGACCTGTCTTTATTCTCATGTTCACTACAATGTAAATTACCTGTGTGTGTGTCTTGTTGAAATCCTTTTTCGTATATAACAAATTTTGTACAGCGAAGCAGAACAACAAAAAAAGCATAGGGCTTCTTTTTTGAAGAACGATGATGGAACTGAAGACTTTGATTAGTAATGTCTCAGTTTTTTTGTTTGTTTTTGCAAAAGAAAAAAGAAAAAGAAAATAAAAGTCAAGTGTTGTCTTAGGCAAAATTAATTATTAATATCATCTATTCTGTATACTAGAAAACAAAATGAACACGATATCTGTCTTATAATACTACACAGATCAGCGTTGAAGTATTATAGATGCTGAAACTTCTAAATTAGATGATAATTGAGTCTTATTAAACTTAATCTTATGTCGTTCTTAGTATGATATATTTGTTTTTCAAGATTTATTTCTTAAGGGAATCGACAAAGGAATGTGAACAGCATTCGTTTTTGGTCTTGGTAAATTTCTAAAGATCGTCAGAAACATCAATCGATGATCTCATTTTTACAGAGAGATCTGGTGGAATGTCGAGTCCAGTGTTTTATCCAGCGGGAGGCCAAGGGACATTTTGCTCTTCCGAGAAAAATGAAATATATAATTAATTTTTATATAACCTACAAAACACAGATCTTTCGAATGCATCCGTACGATAGACTCGATATTATTCATAGTAGTTTGCTCTTAAAAAACTTTTGTCTGCCCACCCGACAGCTGACTTTGCCCTCCCGGAGTGAAAATCTGGATAAAACACTGGTCGAGTCGTCTCCATAACAAGTATATCCCATCGGGTCCAAAAATATCTTAAATTGAACCCGGACCCAGTCAATACCTAAGTTTTAGAATCGGACCCGATGGGCTCTAGTGTAAATGTGCATATAAATGTCGATGCGAATATGAACTGCTAGTCTTCTCGTCATTCACATTCATACCCACTAGTGTAGAAAGTGTGTTCCTCTATTTTTATACGAAATGAAGGCGTCCTGAAAGAGCAACTAATTCTATGCCTATTAGAGTCAATTTATTTTCTAACAAGTTATTAGAATAATTGAGTGTACCGTCAGGTATAAAACAAAAATTGTTTATCAATATGTAATATATAATAATATTCAAAATTGACTGAATGAATTTCAAACATATACTCTTTTATTTTGTGAATTATTTCAGAAAGCAAAAAAGATAGAATGGAAAAAGAAGAGCTGATCGACATCGACTCGGAGTAACTATGAAGACAAGCTCGAAGCAATATTGAATTTCTGTATTCGACTATTCCCGTTATCGGCAACAAAGAGATTACCAAATCGATCGAATGAAAAGCCTACAGGATAATTTAATTGATTTGTTTTATCCCCACAACTATTTCCGCCAACGACAACACTGCCTTCTATAGCTCCATTAGGCCATCGTACTATTCGATGACTACCGCAATCTACAACATAGACTGTGTCAGACTGATCGACGATAACTCCATAGGGAGATGACAATTGTGTAAGATCATTTCCTTTACCCCGACCACCTGCTACTACAATTCCTTCTTTTGCACCTTCTATCCATTTCATAACACGATAATTATTCATGTCCGATACGTATACGGAACGATCTCGATCGACAAATATATATTGAGCACCATTAAGCTGATCGAGACGATTTCCTTTTCCATTTCCACCAGCAACCACTATACCTTCAGATTCTCCTATTCGCCATCGCTTAACCTCATTGTTTTTGTAGTCTGAAACATAGAGAAATCCATTATTATCCATTGCTAAACCTCGACAATCGATATTAGAAATGATTGTTTGTCCACTAGGAGCATTTCGACAAGACCATAACATTACTCGTTGATTTCCAGAATCACAGATGATGAGATTGTCTCTCTCTTTGTCGACAATTATATCCAATGGATTATTCAATTGATTCATACTATTTCCTGCTCCATTTCCACCGGCAACTACTTGGCCGGTCTTCCCATTCGATGGCCACTTCATAATACGATGATTGCACCAATCAGTGATATAAAAACTTTGATCTTCATTATCGACACATATTCCTTGGGGACTGTTCAGTTGATTCAATCTATTTCCTTGTCCATTGCCTCCAGCTACAGTAATGCCATTGTTGCTCCATGTTGCATTGATATCAATGTTAGCTGAACGTAGCAAAACTAGAATGAAACAAAGGCTTATAGTGAGAACGAATTCAGATGTGTTGGTTATTCAAATCAAGGAACAATGGGGACATGTCATTGGTCGATAAGTGTTCAATCCCTTTTGGAACGGAGTTATTTTCAAAAGATAGATTTTAACGATTCAATTCCAAAAATTGAATCATGATGTTCTGTGAAAATATATTCGTTCTAAAAGTAATTTAGCATTTAAGAATCATGTCTCGAAAACAGATTAAATTGTATTGGACTCATATTTCTATTTCAAATTGGTAATAGATTCTTTGCTGAAATTTTTCTTGAAATAATTTGAAATGTATCCTTAGAGCTCACGCCAATTGTAGCTAATTGATAATTTATTGTAATCGAGATAATATTCATTGTTAAACAGGAATCGAATAGTTTAGGTAAATTTTCAAATTAGTCATCGGTCATTTTTTTTTATCTATAAATCATTTTGCAAACAAACGTAGAAAACACGTGGGAGACATTTGGAGAGAGCTCGAACATTGCTGGAAACATATAGTATTGTCATTAATGATTTCATTTGTATGACAGTGAAATGAAGATAGATGAATGTTATACTAATATTTACTTGTTTCTTGTTGTTTGTCAACACAGATAAGACGATTCCAATCGACCTGACCAATTTGGGACGCAATCACGTTGACGTTGTTTGGTCGAGCAAGTTGTTTGAAAGATTGTTGTAATTTATTGATTTTTTCTCGAAATTGTCTAAGATCATTTTCAGCAAATTCGTCTTCTTCTCGTCGACTACGAATTTCTTGTGTTAAACTTTCAACTTGTTTTTGCAATGTCTCTTTCTCATTATTGAGCAGTTGAGTGAGTTGATCACGGGCTCTATCAGCTGTTCTTTTGGCTATTTCGATCGTTGAGATTTCCCATTGATCAATTGTAGAAAAAAGATCAGACGGAGAATTATTCAATTGTTTCATTTGATTGATATACTCGAGTAGTTCATCATGAGCTTTTACAACATCATGATCGAATTGCATTGATAACTGTTGACGATGTTCATTAAAATGCTTGACACAAAAGAATGCTTTACATCCGATGCAGTTACACATGGCTGCATTCTTCTCACATATCGAACATCGATTCGATGATATTCCGGTAGCCGCCATGTCTGGAATGATTAACGAACAGCTGTGAAAATGTATACCTCGAAAAAACAAGTATCGAATGATGAGATCAAAATTTATTTTGTATATACTTATGCAGAAGGGAGGAGTCGGATACGTATGATATACTTTTTAGTCTTCCAACGTATATGGTTTACAAAATCAGCCGCATCTTTCATAATTGATTGATCTGAATGAATCTGTCAGAGGTAGAATGTGACTGGTGTTCTATCGCATACCCACTAACCAGTGAAATGGTATGACGATAGAACGGAGAAAAGATTGATGTTTTCTTGAGGTTTGAACCATGCAGCTCCTGTTATTCTGACAAATGTACTACCACTATACTAGAAAGGAGTGTCTAATCTCGGTTTGGAAGCGTTAGAGTACACTACGATCCTAACCGAATCCACACACACGTATTGCGCAACTCCATTGGAACAATTCGTATTTGTTTCTTCTATGGTTTATTTCTTGATCTCAGAAATTAAGAAATCTTCGTTCGTTTGCTATGGTGCAACAGAAATCTAACTTTAATACTACTGCTTCTAATAAATCCTTTCAGTTACTCAAGTCAGCATATGTCTGTCTATTTGCTCATGCTTTTATTAGTCGAAACCCGTGAAGCAGTTAGAAGCGCGTTTTCGATTGAGGGCGCTGTTGTACACCGCCACAGACATAAACAACAGTATCTTTTTTTAAGAATTGAATTGCCGTAATTTTGAACTTATGCAAAAATATCTCAAAATTTTGTTCAAGATAATGGACGATCACATTTCGGTGTTGTTGTGAGTACGTGAATGAGCGTTAGGTTAGAAGATCAACACTCAGATCCATACCCACGCCCACCCATTATTCGTTCTATTTGTATTCTTCTTTTTTATTTTTCTTCTAATTGTGTGCTTCCAAACTGACCTGTGACTTTGTACTCATTACGTGTATTCATATATATGACTTGCCAAAAACTATCGATGACAGAAGCTGTGAAACGATCGCAGAGACAGCATCTTTATTCGCCGATTTTGGCTTTTGTTTTCGCAGAAACGGTTGTTCATGGGATGCCTTCGATACCGGTTCTCTGTTTAACGACCATGAAAAATTTCTAAGACAATTATCTCATTATATATTTCTGTTGTCTTTTGAGAAGCAACCATATTATTATTCAATTGAAGATGATGGTTGTGGACTAACCAAGAGGGAACAAGCTGATTTCAATCTCTAAAATCTCGAAATCAGTTAGTTCCCTTGGCAATGTCTAAAGACCAGACAATCATTAAAAACGATCTATTTACTTTTCCCTCACAAATATTCAAGTTTTCATTGAACTGAAACCAGTAGATATTTATTTTTCTCTCAAAATGTCTGCTTTTTGTTAGAAGAATTAGCCGTGCAAAACATTTAACAGACCTTGCCCGTCGGATGAGCCTAAAAATCAAATGGCACCTTACATCAAAACGATGAGTTATCGCTGAGAAACTTCATGTGAAAGTGTCAATAAAACAGTGAATACATTCTGGGACTCCTCAGGTAATTTTCAAGAAGTCCTAATTGATTCCCTGGAGATTCCACATTTTTTCGGGGGCAACCCTGGGACTTCTCAGGGTACAATGGGTTAGGGCCACAATAATAATAATAATAATAAATGTATAATATAAGTCGCGGTCTGGATAATTTATTTTTGTAACTTAATAGGGTGACTCATGGCGGCCATGGCGGATTGTGTTATGGTTGGTGCACCTTTCTACGATTGACAGAACAGAACAGGAAAAATCCAACTAATAACCTTTTTCTTTTCTTCCTCACATGTTCTTATTGAGTGTCAACATATTGTTTTCAACCATCGTATATGTTTGAAAAATTTTGTTTTCAACTGGCAAAATAGTAAGCATGTAAATTGCACTCTGCAAACTATTAAAAACATGAATAGTATAAAGACACATTTACTTATTTCTGTTTCAGATAATTAAATTGAAGCTTGAATAATTTAATCGAACTATTTTACAATTTTTCTTTACGATGAATCGTATGAGAAGATCGTATGAAATTGATCATAACAATAGATTTTATCGAACCTCAAGTTTCGACGCCAGACGATCACTATTTCTCGAGTTAACTTGTACTGATCGAAACAAAGTCATCAAAATCGAAGAGCCTATTGTATTTTCTTCAAAAAATACTATTCACGATATAAAATATGAATTAATGCAAATCCTTCACAGGGAATCAATCCATCCTGAGCAAGTCGTACCAACAGAAATCCAGTATTTCGGTAGTAGTAGCATAATAAACTCCTCTCATGAAAATATGACATTGGACGAACTACATGTTAAGAGTGGATCTACACTTTGTTTTAAACAGTTGACCGTTTCATCTTACACGAAACTAATACAAGTGACTGTGTCCTTCGTCAGTATTGGACGTAGTATAGTACTCGAATTGGACGAGTCATCCACAACGATTGACGCTCTCCTACGTACAGTCATAAACGCTTTTGATTTAAATTCGATTGAACGTCAACGAATTCAATTGCGTTCGTACCGTGACGATGTTCTTAATACATCAAGTAATTTAGGAAAGAAATTGTCAGAATTAGGTATTCGAAATTATTCGATCATCTTTCTCTATATTAGCAAACCATCATCTACTATCACGAATGATGACGATATATACGTGTATACCAAAAGTAATACTATAAGTGGCGTCGATTTATTACTAGCATCACCAACAGATGCCATTGGTGAGTTAGAAGCTCGAATTAAAAGTAAATACCAATGGATGGTGTCTGTTGCGTTTCGTGATACCGACTATAATACGATAGATGCAAGTGATCGCAATCGAACGCTAAGCGAATTGGGCATAAAGTCAAGTCAGAGTATTTATGCTGACATTGAAGAGGTCCTCCCAACCAAACAAACGGATAAATCGCAACCATCGTCATCGTCGACGACTATGAATTCGAACATGGTCGATGTCCGTTGTCAACTTCCAGGTATTCAACCAATAACGATTAAAGCATTAGTAACAGATACGGTAGCAGAATTGGCAGCAAACATCGGAGCTCTTCGTGAAAATCAAACAATGGCTCAATTTTTACTATGGTCTGGCAGTATTACTATTGACGATAAACAGCCTGATAAACGTTTGGCTGATTTTGGTATTAAACCTGGTAGTACAATTGTGGCTTCTGTCATAGAAATTCCTCCTACTAATAACTTCATTAAAACCAGTAAAATCGACAAGACTTACACAACAACAAACACTTCCGATTTGAATGTGAAACCAAAAGGTTTGAATAATCTTGGTAATACATGTTATATGAACAGTGCACTTCAATGTCTTATGCATGTGCCAGCATTAACTGAATACTTTATGGACAAACTTTCACAGGCGCATGCAACTGATGAGCATTTTGATAATTACAATCCATTTCATGAGTTTGGAGAAGTTACTGAAGCTTTTGCTAAACTCGTATGGAATTTACAAAAACCTGATAGAAAATCTTATTCTTATTATGATTATTCATTTCGACCAACTGATTTTAAAGAAACGATCGGTCGACTCGAACCCCGTTTCGCTACATTTGATCAACAAGATGCTCAGGAATTTTTGACTTTCCTCCTGAATTCTATTCATCAGGAAATCAAACAGAAAAGTAACCACGCACAAAATACAATCATTACAAAACTATTTTTCTGTGAAATTCAATCTTCCACTACTTGTTGCCGATGCCAACATGTCAGCACTAGAGTTGAATCATATAGTATCCTTCCATTGCCACTCAATTCAAAAGAACGAATGTTTCAAGTGAATTTTATTCGATTGAACGGTCAAGAAGAGTATGATATAGTTCCTATGTCTATTGATCATCGTATTGAACATCTTGTATACGCATTTTTCGAGCGTCGTCGTGATACAATACGCTTTAGCTATGTTACGGTGATGGCTAAAAATGCAACAGAAGCAGCAATTGACTTCGGTACATCTCTTAGCAAATTATCTGAACCAGTGCTAGCAGTGATCGAGCAAGTCAATTACAATGGACGCATTGCACCTTTTCAATATGAGAATAAATTAACTAGCCTAAAACTTGACGAGTGTCTCCAAGAATTCGTCTCACTTGAAACACCCGATGATTCATGGTTTTGTGACCAGAATGAATGTAAAAAGGATTCAAAGGTAAGTAAACAACTTCAAATTTTGACTTTTCCTCCTGTATTAATTATTCAACTAAAACGATTTTCACATGAACATGGTCTTCATCGAAAATTGAATACATTGGTTGATTATCCTATAGATGGATTCAATCTCGGTAGACTTTTAAAATCATCTGAGGAAGCTGTTTATGATCTTATTGCTGTTTGCAATCATATTGGTTCTATTTATGGTGGTCATTATACTGCATATGCACGAAAAGGTCCTAAACAAGAGACATGGTACATACTCGATGACCACTATGTATCAACTGTGTATTATAAAGAAGACTTGATTTCCAAAAATGCTTATCTTCTTGTTTATTTGAAACGACCGAAACAAACATAGTCATCAAATTCAATAATGATTGGGTGCTCATTGTGTATTTGTCCTAGATATACATGTATACATGAAAACAAAATTTTCTCTTATTATATGATAGATTTCATGTGTACATATGCTTTTGTAAGGAATAACAATTTGAACAAACGTCATACCACTCGTATGCACCTCTATTTTTTTCGTGATCAATTGAGTAAAACACAAACTAATTATAAATAGTGTGCATTTATAATAATCGTGACTTGTAATTTTGTTCAGATCAATAAAGACTACTATACAACGTGTACATACTCATGCTGTCAATGACACGAAAGAGCGAAGTATTTTCTCTGATTTACTGTGCATATCAAATCATTACAATTGATCTTAGAATACAAAAAAAAGCTCAAGAAGGGATTTCATTTCAATCGCTTTGATTGCTCAGAAATAAATTGAAAGAATGATTTATCGATTCATTCTTCAAGTTTTCGTTATGGGTTAAGATTAAAACTTGAGAAGATGCCATTCTATGAAAGAATCAACGTAGCAGTGTTTTATTGAGATCGATATAACTCGAGTTAAAATGATCGCTAAATAACAATATTGCAATGAACGACGTTATATCAATGATTATCGATGTAGGTTTTATTTCAGTGACGGAGACTTCAGCGATTTGTAGACTATGGCTCACTAGACCATTCTTCAGTGTCATCAGTTACCAGTAAATCAAATATACGCACCACAGTATGAAGTCACATCAGTCTGTAACTTCATCTGATTTTCTAATTACGATGCGTCTTGATCTACTGTTGTTAATTGATTTCCATCGCCATAAATACCGAATACGTCTTTTGAATTTTTCATTCCGAACCCTTTATAATCATTTTCCTCGCCAGCATACAATCGCATCAACAATGGGAGATAAATCTTCATATCTTCGTTCATCTGAATTGATCGAATGAAGTCTTTTTTTGATAAATTTTTATGTGTGTTGTGAAATCGTTCAACCGATTCAATCATTCCATTGTACTTTGGTCTTATATTATTTTCCATCTCATCGATTCTCGCTAGTGTTTGTGCATCATCTTTAAACAATGCTCTCAAGTCATCTGCATTCTCATTGATGATAGCTTCAAATAATGATCTTGGAGAGGTGGCGCTCTCTCCATCTCGATGAATCATAAGATATTTTTGTGTTTTAATTTTAACAAGATACGATGGTCGATCAGATTGGATGATTTCAACAACATAACCTTCACCGCGAGGTTGCTGATAAATGTCTTGCAATAATTGTTTGTGTGTGACATCGGATGGAACAGATTCAAATGCGACGAGATGGTCGAGAATAGTGGGGAAATTATTTTCAATAAGAAATGTTTTCAATCGAGTACCAAACAAAGTTTGACCATTGGCATGTGATCGAATACATAGAACAGTGAGTTGAGGTTGTGAATAGGAAACGAAAACATGATTGGAAGGCGATGTATATTCCATGTCGACTGTATAATTGAGATGAACCAAATGGTCAATTTCAGATTTGAATTCATCTAACAACAAAGAACTAAGATATTGGATACAGACAAATCATACTTCGATTCTATTCCCTATTTTCTTCACTTGAGTATGGTGTTTTCTCCTATTGTTTCTGTTCGTCAACTTAATCCCTTCTATATGCAAAAGAAAAATGCACAGTATGCGACGGATGTGTGCATCACGAAAGAAGAAACATAAGCGGGTTTATAGGCATCGTTATTGAGTAAAAGCTTCTCAGGAAATGAATCGTTCGTACAATGTAAAGTGTTCTGATTCACCTATTTTGTAAAATTTCTGAAATGACAGAGTTTAATATCACCGTGATAAAAATTCTCCAAGTGGAAAAAACATAATTCGTTCACACTTGTACGGGTAGAGAATAATTTCATTCGTATCTTCAAAAGTCTAGCACGATAAATCTTATATAAACAACGAACACAGTCTATGTCGAAATAAATTATATAACTTACATACCAACAAGTAATTGCATAGCTTCAATAACTTGCTTTGATGTCAACGATTGTTTAGATTTAAGTCGAACTTCTTTCGATGCTCTTCCGTGTAGAAACGTCGATATCAATGTTCCGTCCATTTTCTCCATTCTATCACCGAATCGACCACGTTCATGAAATTGTTTTTGACCAAAACCTTCTTCGTAATTAAAAAATTTCCTCTGTGGTAAACAAACGAGTTGTATGTTTTTCGGATTCGAAATGTTGAACATTGTTCCACGACAATTCAAAGCTGCTGTACGCAACTGAAATGTTGCATAAGAACAGAGACGATAATTGAATATACGATATTTGATTGAATATAAACGAACATCTTTGTAATAGAAAGTATCATCTTGGGAACAAAGATTCATCAAATCGTCATAGAGTGTATCCATATTTATTTCCATTGAAGAAGAAGCCATGATAAGAGTTAGAAATCAAGATGAACTGTTTTTTTCTACTTATATTATCGCCTACACAGTAATTGCATAACGAATAGTGATTGCGAAATGTCCTCGTAGAATTAGAAAGAAAGACGCAAACTTACTCATGTATACACATAGTTACCCTCGTCACTCTGTTTTGAAAAATGCTTTTGAGAAAGAAAAAGAGAGTAGAAACGACTAATCTGATGATGATGATGATGACGAAAGTCTTAGATTGATCGAACTGGCTATGGAGCAATTGATTTGAAAAGTCATCAATATTGGAAATTGTTTACCCATATAAAAATAAGTCACGTGGCTGTCTTGATTTGCATTCTTTTCACATTCATTTTTGTTTGTATGTAGTAACAGCACTTATATTCCTATTCTATAATTAAATTCCATAAAACAAGCAGCTACTCTTATATCTTGCAGTCTAGAAACCACATTGATGCACTAGGTGTTATCTGTTACATACACTAAGTAGGGCTCTGTATTACAAGTTTCAAATACCAAAACAAACAAAAAACAATCTTTTGAAAGGCAATTTTACAACGAACATTTCAATATGATTTTTTGATTCATTACAGTACTTTCTAACTTGTGTATCATTTTGGAATGCCTAAAAATAAAAACACATCTAGAATCATTCATCATTTCGTTGTTAAAAATTCGAAGTAGAGTCTATTTTGGATAGAACCATCAATAATTACCAGGAACTAGTATTGATAGATGCTGCCATAACGTTTTGTATTAATTTGATTTATTTTGCATATTTCAGTGATATTGAGTGACCACTGGTCACTATGAACGACATAGAAGTCATTATGCTGCTACTTTAGTATAACTTCCATTTGTTTTATTTACCAAAGTAATATATTATTAGTGCAATGAAGTAATTATAAAATGACCGACAGAGTGTGGCATAAATAGTAAGAGTAGACGAAATTGTCTTATTATTTCTAGCCAAATAAACGAAGGAACTTGTCATACTCGTGGAATACTTATCTTCTTTATTATTTCATTTTACTGTAAAATTACTTTTTACTTTCAAATCACACTTTTTTTACTATTTCTAAAAGTTTGAAACTTAAATCAAAATTCTTTCTAATTGCATTATTGTAAATATCATCATGTTATTTACAGTAATTTCTATTCTTCATCAACGTGATCAATTTTCTGAGAGCAGATATTTATGTAATGGTTTAATGAGAGAAGGTAAGTTCATTCTTTTTTAAATTAAGAAAATTAGTTTTGAAAGAGAAGAATAGCGCATTCACGGTAACACATATAGAGCACCTGGCATTTTGGAGGTAAGCAAATATCTTTTCTTATTTTTTCTAGAGAATGAATAATGTTGGAAAATAAAGACCTATTTTGTCGATTTATGTTATGAATGAATTAAGATCGGCCAAGATCAAAATAAGCGATGTTTAAATAATTGTTTCAATGCTATTTCATTTTTTATCTATTTCTTTCTCAACAAGTCCAGGTGTGTTTACAACAAGCTTATCAATTCACTATTGAACTTAGTGATAAGGGTACAATATTTATTCCTCAAGTTTTATTTGAATTTCCTTTAAAAACATTAGCTGTTAAATCGTTGACGCTGTGTGTACAGCAGTGCAATCAAAATGTTCTTTACCGAGTATTTGTGTATGATATGAAGTAACACTCAATTACCAATTATATCAAAGTGATTTGCCATCTGGAAATATTACAGTGGTTCAGGGATCAACATCACGAGTAGGTCGTATACAATACCGACCTCAGTTCTATATCGGCTATAATCAAACGTGTGACCGGTGTCAAGTTAATCGATATTTAATTTGTCAAAATACAAAATGCCAATGTCCTCGATTAGCAACTTATTGGGATGGACAAATGTGCCAAAATCAATTGTCTTATAGTAAACTATGCCGTTCATCATCCTGGTGTCGGCAAGATTGGAACTTGACATGCGTATTTGGATCTTGTTAACCTAATACAGCAAGTAGGTGAAGAATGAATCTCAAGAGATACATGTATACGTATGTGTTTACATTCATAGCCATGAGCGAATAAAATATTTTAGGAATATTGAAAAGGAAACAACATATTTTCAAAATAATTAGATATAGTTTGTTGAAGCTTTGCACCAGCAAAAAAACCAATTGCAGTTCTATACTAAAAATCAAAATAAGTAACATTCTTAATTATTTCTGTTGTTAGTAGACAATTAGTTGATTAGAAAAAAAAATAATTAAGGGAAAATACACATGACAATGTGTGCGATACGTTTATCATTGATAATAGATAATTGGTATACGACTGAAAGTGAAATAATTAGTGAGAATCGACTAATTGTGATAAGCTGTTCGTCTATGTCTAATTCTTAACAAAAAAAGCGTACTTGAGCTGCTAAGTAATACTTCATTTACTGTTGTGCCGATATTGATGGCACGCTTCGATGATTCTCCTTCATTCTCTTTCTGTTCTCTTTCCATTGTTCTAATATCTCTCTCGCCTGTCTCTCTTCTATCTCTCTCCTATATATACGTGTGTTACGTATAAAGTCGTTACATTCTGGAGATGTCAGATGGCACAATACACCATCATGCCGACGGGCATAGGCGACACTCTAGTTTTGTCGTTACACTCTGGATAACTTGAAGTAAACGAATAAACATCTTTGCCGAGAGTGGCACAAGCTAATCTAATCAAGTTGTTCGTTACAACTGTCCGTAATAAAAAGGTAAAATGTTTTTGTAAGTAGCGACGCTATTTCTACGGTTGTTACTTGTTAGAGCAATTTGTTTGAATCCTAGTGGCATTGATTTTCTGTCATTAAAGATAGATATACTATTATGTGGACGAAGACCACTACAACAAGGTTCCCAAAATTCGATCTTACATGTCACGCTTGCATATCGACTTCATAGCATTTACTAAATACTATTTAGTACGTAGAATATCGTATAGCCTCAGTAATATATAAGCTCTGAAAGATAGTTTCTGACAAAAAAAAGGATTTCTGAAAACCAGAACACAAAATTTTCAAGTAAACGTAGTAGACAATATTTCTCTTCATAGAAAATTTGATTAAATATCATACGTTAATGCAATATTGTTAGTCTATTTTGTCATTCAGATATTTTGAACTTTGCCTTTAAACTCAGTTAAGCAAACATAAATTATGCTTTTAATGGCATGAATGATGCTCTCTAGGCTCAAATCAAGTCTCGATCATAACGAAAATTCACCGTCTAGATATCATGAAATCATCTGTTGATTAAACCGTTTTTAGTGTATAAATTGGGCGCCACAGCTATACTATTCGATGACATACCTAATCTAAATCGTGTACAAAGTGTTGTTCCACCAGTCTACAACAATATTAGTTGGACACATGCACAGTATTTGAATGCAACTGCACCAGCCAGCACAGATTATCAACATATTTGCTCTTCTAATCAAGTGGTTTTTCGGTTTAATGTTCGTATGATAATACAAACATCAATAGCTAATACAACATTTGCAATAAATTCATTTGTAATTGCGGCCGGGTGGCCGAATTCCATCAGTAACAATTGTTGGATATCTTACTACAACACAAACGTATACAACTACAGTTGCAATCAATACTAATACAAAACAAATAATGGAATTGCATTGACCCGGACTAACAAAAGTTGTATTCACTCCATCGGGATCAGGTTATTACGATACTGGTATTGATAAGTTGTGCATTACATTTTGATAATAAAACTGAAACTACAATAGACGATTTCAATTCTATCTATTGACTGCTTTATTAATTATGAATTTTGAACTCTTCTACATTTTCCTACTGTTTCACTATTAAAAACCAACAATTTATTCCAGAATAAATATTTAATCCTAAATTCATAATGCAAGTGTGTAGTGATAAAAATATATGGATCAATGCACAAAAAAACACTTGCGCCAGAAATACTTCTCTGCTTGCAACTAGATCATATGCTTGGATGATTATTTGAAATTTACTAAAATTTCATTCGGTTTTACTAAACTATTCAATTGTGTCGGATAACTTTAAAATGTGAAATGTGAAGCTACATGTATGATAATAATAAAAAACTTATCTATTCGCAATTGTTGAAGCAGGTAAATGTGTAGTATCTCAGCTGTCTCGCTATTTGCTCAAACAGATATTATCAATCATTCACAAAAGACTATCTTTGATGTCTATAATATCCGAGTTAGAATTAAGTTTCATCTAGAAAATACGAGAAAGTTCAAGCTTCTTTCTATTGCAGTGGCGGATCCAGAAAATCTCTTAGGGGGTGGCGCTCCTGGTCAAAAAGCGTGTTTTCAAGTCTATTTGAGGCAGAACGACTATTTTCTGTTTCATTTCTGCTGGGGGAAATCGAAAAAAATGGTTCTCATCATTTAGCTTGCTCACCGACTGAGACAGTTCTTGATTTTAACGCTGGTGGT